TGCAGAACATGTATGGGTTCACTGGACCAAGCCTGCAGAAACATCTGGAATTCAGAATGGGTAACTCATGTGGGCACTGATGGACACTGTTAAAAGAGTCTCACGCTGCTGATGGCCCTGGCTGAGGAGCAGTTTATAATATAGGAAACCCACAGGAGTCTTCAGGCGCTCAGGACCACCTTCCTCACCTCAGGGAAGTACTGCTGCCCCATGAAGATGTGGTGAGTGTGCTTATCCATCAGGCTAGGGCCATTCTAAACCCAAACTGGACAACTGTGGCTGTTGCTCATACAAAGGCTGAGTAAAAGCCTGAATTTGAAGTTTGTTAACAGGAAAGAGCCCAAGTACACACATGCCTGACCTCCAGCTGCAGTTGTGGTGGGAAAATATCCCCTTGTTCTGTTTGTAATGTTTCCCTGCTCTTAAGAAGTAACATCAGTGTTTAATTCATAGAAAGGTGAAAGGAAATGCAAAGCCCAAACCCAAGATGAATTGTGTTGCCCCACATTGTGGTGTTAACTTGACTAGGCTAATCTGTTTTCAGCTGGTGATTTAAGCTTTAGGCTTGGAAAATGCAGTAACATCTACATGTTTGAATGTAACAAGAGGATCATTTTCAAAGGCCTTATCAAAATTCCACCCTAATAAAACCAGTTATCAGTGCATCAGACCACTGATGAGCTTCCATGTGCAAGCATCTCACAGATTCTTTTGAAGGTCTTTAATCCTCAGTAACTGCTGCTGGAACAATTCAGACTTTCCCCTAGAACAGGAAATTAAATCTGAAAAATAGTATATTCCTTGTATTCTCACCAGTTTGACTATTCAGTAACTTGCACATCACATTTCTTGTGAAAAGCCAATTTTTCATGTAGTTTTGCTAGGGATTCAATGTGCAAAGAGATTTCACTATATAACACTTACTATGTGTTCTGTTCCTCTTCTTTTTGGTCCTGTAAGTAGGCAGTGGGGTTTTTATTTTTTTTCATTCAAAGACCTGGTAAGGCTGAATTAGTTTTATTCCCCCAATTCTCAAGATAGATAAAGAAGGCAACAGTTGTAGTAGTGAGAAGCTAGAGATGGTAAACAAGTAACCCAACCCAAAACTTCCTTGCAATCATCATTCTTTACCTAGAAAACGTCAAGAGAACAAAGCTGATTTTCTTAGAGAGTTTGGTTTGGTTTTTTTTTTTTTCTTGTTTATATGGAAATTTAAGAGATGAACTATTGTTCTGTGCTCCAGAAAATGGGTTAAAGCAGTGAAACAAAGGAGCGTGGCTCCTTTAGGTTTAGGTTAAGAACTTGTGCAGGGATCAGTACTCCCCTTGCTTCATTTTGAATACATTTAAAAACATTTGGTGAGATGTCACAACAAGTCTGACACCCAGCTGTCTTTTCTTCAGCAGAGGAATCAGACCCATAACCAAAATTTCACAAAACTTAAGAGCTGAGAGGAAAAAGTAGCTGGATTAGGTAAATGACAGGGGAAGAAGCTCTGCACATAACCATGAACCCTGTAAAGGACCACTTCTGTCCATTTTTCACACTGGTTCATTGGGTTCTCTTCCATTGGGGTTCTTTGGTTCTCTTTCCTTTCAATCCCAGCAGTGAGAAATGAAGGTGTCTGCTGCAATGCATTCTCTACTGCAATTCTTATCTCCTTGCAGCCCCAAGAGCTGGTTGCCCAAGTATTTTGTACCCTCTCTCTGCTTTCAAATTATTCTGCTTCTAATGCAGAGACTGGCTTTTGACATCAAAAGCATTTAGCAAATTAGAGTGCAGCTCCCTGAAGCTAATTCTCCCATCATAATTCACATGGGTACTCAGAGTCCCTTGCACAAAAAGACCAAAGATAACTAAATTGACAAAGGCAGCATTGCTCTTGTACAAGTCCTTCCACCGGGCCAGATCTCACCTTTGCTTTAAAGCTCTCCTGTAGCAACCTGAGACATTTACATTTACAAACAGGCAGTATCTCCAAATAAGGTTTGAATGGTAAATGTAACCAAATGGGAGACAGGCAGAAAAAGGAAGGCTTTTACATGGAAATGTTGCTATGTGAGCTGATGAGATACAGCTGAGCTTCTTGTCAGAAAAAGAAAAAAAAATGAATATAGTTTGTGATGCAAATACAGGGATAAGTCCATTCTGTTTTCAGTGGAAGCTTTTATTTTTCTTCGTCGTTTTTCAGCATTTGCAGGAGCTCTTCAGCTCGCTTTCCCCCCCATTGCCTCTGTTGGGCACTAGAGGGACCCTGGAGTTTTCCAACCCATGAAAACCTCCCAGCAATGCCGAGCAGGGAGCCCTGCCTTTCCCGGTCACCTTAACCGAGGTGTTTCCGAGGAGAAAGGCGGGGAAAAATCTGCTCAGCCTGCCCACAGGCTGCAAAAATGCCACCGAGAGTAATGTGCAAGGGGACCGTAGCCACGCTCCTTTGTTTCATTAACCTCAGCGGTGCTCGCAGCTCTTCCCATCATCAATAAATAAGAGCTGACTTTGTCTTGACTGCTCTGATTGCTCAGCTAATGCGCTGACATTGGCGCCAAGGCTTGAGTCATTGTGTTTTTGAGAAATTAAATGTTTCCTTCCCCCCCGTCTGAAGTGGTGCCAAACACCTAGGCTGCCACTACTGCATCCCAATAAACTCTCAGGAGAGCAGTGGGGAATTGTTACTTAACTATATAGTAAGAGACAAAGTACTGACACAAATTCCTTTTAAAACTGCATTCCCCAGACACAGTTTCAAATTAATCTGTTCTAAAGACAACTATAGGTAATTTCATTCCTTTTTCTTTTAGTAGGCAGGCAAAAAAATCCTCTGTATTTGACTTACCAGACTTCCATACAGGGATCCATAACTGAACATCTCAAAACTCATGGTTTATGAGGTGATGCAAAATTTTGTTTTCCTTTATACAAAAAATCTTTCCCCACTATGGCTTAGTGCAATGATGCTTTCTGATCTCTGCATGAATATTTCTAATAAAAGTATGTGCATGCATTTTAATATCTGTAACACGAATTAAAATATTTTTTTCTGTCTTAAAACACATAGTGTCAACACTGCTGCTGAATATTTCATGTGAAGTATAAGGTAATTTGATTAGATAATTATCTCAGGGAAAATGGTGACTGCCATTTTTTTGGTGCTTATTTTTCATCATCTTTGATGCTGGTTTAAAGGAGAGATGCAGCTGAATGACTAACTTCTCAGACTCACCTTCTCCCTCTCTCTGTCTCTCTCTGCAGGCTGCTGCTGAAAAGAGACAGGCTGCTGCTGTGCTGCATCTGAGCTAGAGGCGTTGATTCTCTGTCACACATGGAATATTCTGAGCAGGTCTCTGGTTAGTTACACCCCCTCTGATCTCCAGGAACGTTTATGGACAGTTTATTGTACATGTGTCTTTCTATTAAGACATCTTTCCATCTTTTCCATGCTACACACTGCAGTATTTGTTTCCAATGAAAGGCTGTCCTTTCCCCTCCCTCCCCCCTTTTTTTAAAATTGTAAGCTTTAAATGAATCTAATTTCCATTTGGATGAAGTTTAACTTTTTCTTCTTGATCAAGTCAGCTGTTCACTCCCTCTCAGGGCTGCTTCTGATGTGGCTTTATGTTAGACCCTGCATTCCCATTATCCAGGTGGTGAGAAGAAGGGTGAAGTTCCTGTGCTTGTGGGGAGAACTCCATCAAGGTCTTTGCATGGACACCAAGGCCCCCAAGGAGAGGCACAGGAAAAAAAATCCAGCAGGAGAAAGGCACTGAGTGTCTTCAGGGTATTGCAGACACTGGTGCACGTGCCCTGAACCAGTGAATTTCCTCCTGGCAGCCTGGAGAAAGACTGACTGCAGCAAATGCATTTTCTCTGAAAGCATCTCTGGAAGGATGTGCATCACTGATGGTGAGTAACAAGCAGGGAACATGATGCCTTTGTCGCTTTGGCAAAATCCTGCTCCCACTGCACGGCACTGATTTACAGATGAAATGTGAGGAAACAGCAGCAGTGGGAAGTTCTCTCAAACAGCCTGAGGAAGGCTCAGGAAAAGTACAGGAAGAAATGTTTGTAGTCCTTACTCTTTTAAAATGAAAATTTCCTGATTTACAAATACACAAAAATACTTAACAAAGTAACTTGGCCACCCCAAGTCACTTCATTAGCACCGACAGACCCTTGACATGAAATATACATACCATTAACATGAAATATACAATGTTGAGGGTATTTCTTTGTGAATGAAGAAACAGACGCAGGGGCGGGACCTAGGCTTTCCTGAGCTGCATTTTGACTATGAGTCTAATACACATATGGCCCAAATTACACATCTGAAATCTTCTCGATAACCTGCTAAAGCCCACAAAAATACCCAAGTGCTCAGTATTCCTCAAAAATCATGCTCGAAATCTAGCTGGCTACATAAAATTAGTGACATTTGGGAAAAAATGTGGATAACTTGCTCACAGTGATGCAGCAAAATGCAACCAAACTGAATTTAATGTTTAAAGTTTTTCCACTGCAGTATGGGTATAGCATGCACTCTAGATCCCCAAATATATTTATCTTCACTGAATCCAAATATAGTACCTTCAAAACATTATTACAGGCTAATGCATACATGGCATGCTCAGAATTTTTGGTTAAGATTCCGACAGACTGACTTTTGCAGTCATGAATTATTAACAAACTGAAATTTGCTTAGGGGAAGAGAGGAGGTAGGAAAGCAGCAGCATTTTACTCTTTCATCTCCAGCACAGGTGGGTTGGACTGGTGTGGCTCTGGCTGTAACAGGTGAGGTATGAGCTGATGCTGTAGCCCTATCACTGATATTGTGGGAGGAATGACTTTGGAGTATAGCAAGTGTAATGGACACCCTGAGGGAGAGGGACAGTTCAGTTCGAGAATGTGGTAAGTGACAAAGTAATAGGATATCTTTTATTGCCAGATTCCAGGAAATGGCTGGAAAGCCCGGCCCTACGAAAGCAGAGTGGAAGTGAGCAGCAGCGCGGTGTCTGAGGGTGCTGTAAAGGCGTTTCTTCACCGATCTCACTGTTACTTGCTCTCTTTCTCCAGAGGAAAAGGAGGAATTAGGCTGAGCCGGACTTGGCAGACCCAAAGGAAATCAGGTGAGGAGCTTTCGGGAAGGTTTTCCACCCGCGGCAGGGCAGGGTAGGG